TGATTTGTTAAAAATGAAAATCGAAAGCACGCAATGCTCGTGAAATGTATTTTATGTCTTTGCATCTTTTAATTTTCCAAACGGTTGCAAAATATGTCAAATATTTGATTAATCAAAAGTAAAACAAATAATAAAATATTAAAATCGAAGTAACATTATTAGGCAAGGAGAAATGTTCTTTTTGATGAGCAGAAGATAAGCAGATTATATAATACTTCTAATAAAGAAAAAAGTTTAACATCATAACATTTACATACAATCTCTTATTCTCTGTTTTATTTCTCTGTCATAAACATTCTCAACAGGTAAAATCGCTGAAACTTTTGCGAATGTTGCAAGGCACTATTTTTCGCTTGTTTGCATACACACAAATCAAAGCAATCATCTTTAGTGCAATGAAAATCAGTATCAAACTAGTACTTAGTAAATAGAATGATTCTAGCGGTAGTCTTTCCAGAGTAACATGCCATAAAACAAGAATTAAATACGGCATTCCACCATATATGGGAAGACTTAATAATATTAATGTATTTTTCATCAATTTCATCTCACATTTAGCATTAAGTATTGAAGTGTCAGTAGTTATCGTTATTGTCGTCATATTATAAATAAAATCTATCACTCGACATGTCGATTCATAGCTGCGCGAATACGAGTACACCATGTACTGGCATCTACTGACATATATATATGTACTCCGAAAAAACATAGAATTTCAGAATTCATGTGTTCATATGTACTCACATGTATCGATCATGTTATGCTCTATATGAATTTCCAGGAAATCATCGACATTCGGAAATCAAATGGGTGTCCTGGAAACCAAAATGAATTTCCTGAAATGGAGATAAATTCACAGAAACAAAAAATGAATTTTCGGACGCACAAATGAATTTCAGGAAGCGCAAATGAATTTCCAGCAAATCTAATGACTCTCCGGAAATCGTAAATACTTCCAAGAACAAAATGATTTGCAGAAAAACATAGTGGATATTCAGGAATCAAATTGACAATGGCTTCATGACAATTTTCTTACCATGATACCCATATAGTTGATGTGAAGGATGAAAAAACATACAGTACTTCTGTGAATGCGGGTGCTCGAAAAAACGGACACATTCGGAAACCGATACACACATCACATCTCTCTCTCACGGAGGGTGCTCGGAAAGATGGACACATTCGAAAGCCCACATAGCGCATCTCTCTCACTGAGAATGCGCGGAAATCTTTATTATACACACATCAGCACATATCTCTCAGCTGAGGGTGCTCGACAATCGTGATTCCACCTGAAAAACAGATTCTTTGCTGGATGGACTTCATCGAATTCGGATGAAAATTGTCGATTTCTCATTTACAATTCATCCAATAAGGGATGTGTATTTCATATGGAATCACGATTTCCGAACATCCTCAGCAGATAGATACAAGCTGATGTGTATGATAAAGATTTCCATGGCACCCTCACCCTAAGGGAAGGACGCGTGTGTATTTGTGGATTTATGCGAAATCTCAAAAAATTCGAGTAAAGTATATCAATTCACATGATTCTTTCCTCACAGAGATTTTTTTCTCCAAGTTGAAACAATTTCTTAGAATGTGTTCTCCAATTACTGAAAGCTAAATTGAAACGATACTAGTCTTCGGGAAGAAACTTTTTAAAACTCGCATATGAACCGCAAAGAACTTCGAGTTTTTGATAAAAAATCTTTTTGAAGTTTTCAAATTTTTAGTAGAAATTCCGTACAGATATTGCCTGCTTGAACAAAAAACTCATCAAATCAGAAACTTTAACACTGAGTGACCACTAAATCTTCAAGAAAAATGAACAAGTCAAAGATTTTCATCAAAATTCGATTAAGTTCATCTACTAAGGAATCTGTTTTTCATGTGGCATCATGATTCCCGAGTAGCTTCAGCAGAGACATATGTGCCGATGCGTATATAGTAAAGATTTCCATGGCACTCTCACACTGTGGGGAGCTTTCGCATAACCAGGCGGAGCGTTTTTTTGCTTAGAAACGGCTTTCATTTGCTTGGAAATAACCATACACCATTCAGAGAATCGCCTTTAACAAAACAGAAGATTTTTACGAAAACAAATTTTCGAAAAAATATGGTTGGGAGTCTCTCAGTTATAATTTTCGGAAAAAAATGTTTTTTTGAAAAATATGTTGAGCTACATATTATTCGAAGTAGTTTAATGCGCTGATTCTGAATATCACCTTAGTTTTTCTTCAAAGTGTAATATGAATGTCTAAAACCCGATTTCCGGTCAAAGCAGTTGCTTTCGGCCAAGCTTCGTCCAAATTGACTTTCACGAAAGTGACTCTTTTTATATATGATCCGATGCAGCTAGACGAGCTGATTCCGAATATCAATTTAGTTTTTCGTTAAAGTGTAATGAAGATGCATAAAATCGGATTTTCCGCCAAAAATCTTGGAGTTTTAGACATTCTATAAGATAGCCTTAGAAAGGTTTCATGGGTTTGCACTACTACCATAGGTAGGATACATATGTAGGAACATCTGGTAAAAATGCGCGCTCGATTAGACATGATCCCTTGGCAACATTTAGAATATACGGAACGATATGGTTTCCGATAGGCTTTGGGCTCGAGATCGTTTGTTTCCCACTCTATTTTAAATTGGACTTGGATCATTTTTTTTAAACATAAGATCCACCCATGGGAAAGCTTCTTGTGATATTGTTGGCTTGTGCAATATTTTTTCATATTGCCTGCGGCTTGATTTTCTTTATTTATGCTGATTTCTGGGCTCAAACCTTGGCAGGTTTTTTCTTGGGCTTTATAAGACTTTGGGAACCACTATTCAAAAAATGATAGATTACATATGCATGTATCTACGAAAATGCTTAGATTCTGGAAAAAATATTTTCCCATATGTCCGCCTGGCTTCCCACGGTGACAGGCATCAACGCTTGCTGATTCAGCGTTACTTCACCTGCTTATTGACTTTCTGTTGCTTTTTTTCTTCAAGGCTGGAAAAAAACCCCGCTGATGACAGTCAACAAAGTGCACCATTCTCCATTTTCTTATCAAATATTTACTATGTAAGTGAAGACTGCTATTGAAGTATGCTGTGTGCAAAAACATCGACTTTCCCCGAAAAGAGAACACAGACATCTGCGTCAATCGGCTTTTTTCTCTTGCTGTGAATGGCTTCTGCGACACAAACGACATCCTGTATCATTGCCAAAGAATAAAACAAGGATTCATATGTTTCTTTAAGCCTTTTTGAACACATAAAATATTCATTGTAGACTTCTTAATCGATTGATGATTGAACAGCGCAAAAACGGAATTTTTGAAAAGTTCATTGCTCAAAACTATGTGAATCTTTGTGAAGAGTTCGGAAGGGTATAAGACTCTCAAGGAAAAGTCCCCAACTGATTCATGGGTGTGTGGGTGTGGGGTGTGGGTGTGGGTGTGGGATTCGCTGAAGAGAGCATCTACCCACAGAGTTACATTCACACCCACACCCACACCCATACCCTCTTGGAATACCCTGAGAGTTTTAGTCGAAAAGAATATTTCTTTGTTGAAATACTAAATTTCGAAGTAAACTCGATTTTTATGACATGCCGGTGACGGTGAATCCTACTTTGGCCGAAAAACAGCAGATCGAAAGATAAAAATGCCGACTTATTCCAAAATTTAGGGTATAGCTATGAATGAAGAGAAGATTCCAACACCTACACCCACACCCACCTCGTTATTTTTGCTGCTGTAAACGCTTTCTCATAGAATTTTTCTAGTGTTACCGAAATCTCCTTATGGACTCGATATGAGTTGGGTGTGGATGTGGGTGTGGGTGTGGGTGTTGGTGTGGGGTGTGGATGTGGGTGTGGGTGTGGGTGTGGGGTGTGGGTGTGGGTGTCGGTATGGGTGTGGTGCAAGTGTAGGTGTGGGTGTGAGTGGGTGCTCAGTAATTTGTTTCCCCATACCCACACACCCACACTCACTCCTGCACATCACCGACACCCACACCGTGGAAAGGCAAGCGACAAAATTGATTTGTGAGATCTGAACCTATTTCGTAGCTAGTATTGAAGCTACTATGGTCCTGCATTAACTGCATCTTGAATTCTGATTGCAAGCGAGTAGCCCTCTTGTAGCAGGGTGTGGGTGTGGGTGTGGGTGTGAATGTGGGTGGGTGTGTGGGTGGGTGTGGGTGTGGGTGGGTGGTAGTCTTTCTCTCATCAACACCTGCATCCCACACTCACACTCACGCACCCAAATTTTGTCCCAGTTCACGCTGGTTGTGTTTTAATAGTCGTAAATCTACATTCAATCAATACGACGAAATACGATCGTAATTTGCATTGTGTGCGACCGAACATAGCAGCCTACTCGTGTTGTGATGCTCGTAGTGTTCTTGGAAAATTAACATAAGTTCTCTTCACATGAGTGGCAAACGTAAAGTGAGATTTTTTTTCTTCACGTAAGCACGCATTGCTTTTAAGAGTATGACAGAATCAGTACTTTTCGTGGGTCGAAACAGTCAATATTATATTTTACATCTTCTGCTGATATCGTAAATGCCAAACAAGAAACTGTGAAATCGAAAAGATTATTTTTTATTGCCACAGCTTAAAAAAGCATTTAACCGATATTTAGACTAGAGAAGGAAGATTTTTGACACAGAGATGCAGTGTTCTGTTTCGATTACTCTGCTGTTAAATTGCTGTAATCATTATATTACTTCACAAAGATGAATTTTGCTTTACCTAGTAAATGCGCACAAATCTTAGCTTTATTGTTTCTATCTAGATTGAGTGAAGAGCCGTGAAAAATATTACCTGTGTGCAATTCTCTTGCGACACGTTTGTTAGCTTCGTATTAGGTATAATGAAAAATCAATTCCCCAGAAGTTAAAGTATAGAATTGTTGTAAGAGAACATGAAAGATATCTCAAAACTCACACCCACAACCTAAACAAAATTCTCTTTTGTCTAAATTTTAGTTGGAGAATTGATGGAATCTGCAACAATTGAAGTTCGTTTTAAACAAACTGGTGAAACTATTAGTGTACCAGTGTCATCAACGTCGACAATGAAAGATATTATTAAATATGTATGTAAAGAAAGTGTGTGCAGAGAAGAAATTGATTATAATAATTATTATCTCATTTTGTTGAACAATCAAGAAATGTTGGATGATGACAAGACATTTGAAGAAATTCAAGCTATTTCAAGAGAAAATCCTGACTTTCAGCTGTGTATGAAAACAGCAATACGTGAGCAAATAATGCGCCTTGCTCGACGATATGTAAGACCGGGTCTAGTCGAAAGAGTAGTTTACCCACAAATACCTGTTGATGATGCCGCATCAAGAATAATAATAGAAAGCAATGAGAATGTAAGTATCTAACAAGATTTCACAGTTCTCTCAATTGATTGTGCTCGTTCGACCAATCTTTATAGTATGTCTCAGCCATTAAAAAAGTCTGGTTTTGTTTTTTTGTTTTCAGTTGCAACCCTCTACTCACGAAACTGATGCCTCACATGAATCAAATGCCGTTCTCTGTACAACACAATCCAATACAGAAGGAGACTCAACCCCAGCAATATCTCCAACGTCTTCTGATACATTAAAACATTATCCAATGAGCGAATTACCAAAAGGTAGCATACTACCAAATACTCAATCGAATATATTTTGTGGGTCTTCTGCATTCAAAGATGAAAACACAAAAACCTTCGATATGAACTTAGAATCAAACATGTACAATTCATATCCGATCTCATCCTCATGCATGCAACCTACACGAGAAGAAATAACGTCCTTAGAAGCGAACACTGCATCAAGCAATAATGTTCCGAATTCATCGCTTTCAAATACATTAGGTAGTACTTATCAACATGTGACAACTAAGATCAGTGAAATCAGTGAGAATGCCACTCGTGATCCTATTATGCGCCAAAATATTCGGGAGACATTCAGTGAAATAAATATTGTTTTGAGTGGTTCACCACGAGTTGGAAAAAGCACTCTGATCAATGCCATATGTCAACAGAAGCTAGCTAGAGCCATGCCTGGACTTGATCGGTGCACACCGATAATCTCCCCCTACTTCCTTAGGGGTAGCATTGAAATTGACTCAGAAACTATAAACTATCAATACAACTTTTGGGATACTCCAGGATTCGAACGTTGGACTCAAGAAGACATTCGTGGAAGCTTAGAAATGATTTTAAAAAAACCTAAATCCGATGTACTATGCATGATCTATTGTGCATCACCAAGTTCTTCTGCAAATACTGAGCAGATCAAGTGGCTATTAAAAGAGTGTATGAGTAAACAAATATTTTGTGCTCTTGTATGTACAAACAAATGGGCCGGATCGAGAGAACAGCGAGATGCAGTCATGAAAGATTTTCAACGTTTATTGGAAGATCGTCATCCCAAAACTCGAGAAGAGAATGATGTTATCTACTTCGGAAATATGGGATTATGCACAGCAGTCAATAGCGAAAGATTTATAATTCAAGAACTCAATATAATATTACAGCCATCGGGGATTGATGAACTTATTTTAGGTATTATGCAATCACTTGATGACGAAAAATTAGCTCAATGGTGTATGTTAGCATTTGAGAACAAATCATTCTGGAAAAACCTGTTTGTTTCTGGAAAACCAATTAAAAGGCTTTGGAACAAACTGCTCGGTAAAAAATAAGTTTAAAATTATAAATCATCATATCCGTTTTATGACCATTGATATAAATTCTTGTCAGAGTTCCTTAAAAGAGAAGGTATATATCAGTGACATTAAACGAATAGGATGCTTTATAATTTCTTACATTGCTGGCTAACAGAACATGCATGGCAGACGAACAGAAAAATAGACACGCTATTAGAAAAAAAATTAAAGAGTAAAGATTTATCAAATAAACAAGAAAGCTTTATGCTATAGTCTTTAAATTTCTTTTATTATTATTGATTGTACAACCCCTCTAGGTTACGGAATTTTGCAACCTGTAATATACTGTGTCTTGCATATTTAACCACGAGGTTCTTTTTTGAATAATGCAGTTCTCCAATTATCAGTACTGATAAATATTAATGACAAGAAAATAAGATGCTCTAAAAGTTCTTGATGGAGATTCTCTTTGAAGTGAGCAGATGTTAATTTAGGACAAAGTTAAGGTTGGCCAAAACGAAATTTGCTCTAGAAGAACCTGTGCACTCAACTATCACTCTTTTATAGAGAGTGGATGCTGCTGTAGAGTTTCTGTTAAATAGATTAAAATATGACTTTCATTGTCTAATTAGAGGATAAGCGATTAGGGTGCGTGTGGGGGTGGCTTGGTGTGGGTTTGTGGGGTGGATGAGGGTTTGGATGTGGGGGTGGATATAGGTGCGGGTCGGTTGTGGGTGAGTGTGGGTTTGTGATATCTCTTCATCGAAAACCCCACCCACGTCCAAACCGTACATCTCTACTTATCAAGAAATAATTACATTAAGAAAAAAAGATGGATTGGTGTGTTTTTCAGTCTTGATCACTTGTGAAAATTTGTTACGCGACAATAGCTTTTCAAGTGTATTGCGGGTGAAAAAGTATAAATAGGAATGCACCAATTCCAATTCCAATTCTCGGCTTGGAATTGGTCGGAATTGGAATTGCTTGGAATTGGAATTGGTAGGAATTGGTTGGACTTGGAATTGGAATTGGTCAGAATTGGAATTGGAATTGCAGGAGTCGGAATTGGCTACAATTGGCTGGAGCTACCTAAACTTCGTATGGAATCCCAGGAATTGGTACGGAATTGGTCTGAAACTGGCTAGACTTGGCTTGTGTTAACTAGAACTCTTAGAGAACCCCAGAAATTCCTATGGAATTGGTCTCAAACAGGCTAGGCTTGGTCTTAGCTGGCTACAATTCTTCTCGAATGATACACATTGCTATGGAATTGGTATCAAACAGGCTAGGCTTAGCCTTAGTTGGCTATAATTCTTCTCCAATGGTAGAAATTCCTATGGAATTGGTATTAAACAGGCTAGGCTTGGCGTTAGATGGCTACAATTCTTCTCGAATCATAGAAACTCCTATGGAATTGGTCTCAAACAGGCTAGGCTTGGCCTTAGCTGGCTACAATTCTTCTCGAAT